AGCTTTGTACTATAAATCTGGGTACAGTGGGAAGCCTATGAATAATGTATATGCAACGCACACGGTGTCTTCACAGCTAATGAAATTCCAATTTTCAATAAACAGCTAGGCAATGGAAGGTCTTAAATTGTTTCCTCCTGCACTTCAGCTGTCCATATTTAACTTCGAAGACAGTATGGGATAGCCAAAAATTCAAGGTTTTCATATATGCATAATTGTCTGAACAACTCTGCTATACAGTTTCTCTTGCAATATTGAAAATAATATACCCAAATGATAACAGAGTTTTCCAAAGCCTGTTTAAACCATATGGTCCTTTCCTGGGTGTACCTGTCTCCTGAGCCTCTTTACATTCTGTTGAAAGACTAATTACCTGTAATATGGCATTGCTCTCACTTAAGCTTTTCCACATGTCCTGCGAGTTTCACAAAGTCCAGTAGCAGGTGCAGGCCTGGGTGCAAACGGCGTGGCTGGAAATCAATAGCCCATTTGTAGCAACAAAGGGCATCCTGCGACTTGCCAGTTCTGCGCTGTCACACGCCAAAACCAATCACATCAAACACACTGATGATCCGCAGACCTTGCACGGAGCCTGATGTTTTATTTATGACGGGTGATGGCGAGCATCTGTGACACTTTTATGCTGTGCTGGCATTAAGCTGCTGTAATGTACCGAATGCCACCTTTTCTGGGAGGTGGATGCTGTGAAAGAAGTGAGTAATGACGGGTGTCAGGGTTGTCATAAACGATGTGGCTGTAGTCCCATTTAATAACTTATCGAGGCCTTAGAAAAGAAGACACACAAGTTCTGCAAACACAACTGAGAGATCAGAGTTACAGGAGGTCTGCTTTGTATTTAGAGCTCAGCTTACGGTGAATCTGAGTTGAGGCAGAAAACTACAGGAAGGCAAATCTTAACGAGGACGAATCTGCACTGGGAGTAAAGCACATGGATTGCGAAAGAACAATTTCCATTCAAACTGTTCTTTGGATCTCTAATCCCCGTATGTATTCTCATCGCTTTGAAGCAGTTTCTCACGTAAACTGAGATCCCAGGTTTTCTTAAAACTAAGCTTTGACTTTGGTTTCTGCTGTCGCACAACCTGTTTGTGTTCCTAGGTTTTCTCTCCACATCAGATCTTTTTAAAATACTCTGAAAGGCGGAAAGAGGAAAAAAGGCTGAATTGTGGTAAAAGTTAATATATTCTGGGAACATTTTCTTAAATGTATTAAGAAAATAAGAAAACTCATTGTTTGTACCCGAAATTTTCCTTTCTGTGGGTGGATACAAAAGTTGCTCCTTTGTGTAGCTGGTCAGCAGCAGGAGGTAATGCCCTAACACGAGCAGTGGTGGCTTTATGCTTCGAGAAGACTGAACTAATTGGTAAATGTAAAGGTTACGTGTATTTGGAGGAGTAAATATGCTCTTCCTACACTGGCCCTGTACCCCACAGTTTTACCTTTGCACTGAAATAGAAGAAGCCTGTGTCTTGGGATGCTAATTTGCTCCGTTTTGGAAAAGATTTTCCCCAGACTGAAATACTTTATTCAAATAATAGTTCATAAAAGAAGATGTTCAGGAAAATGTGTGTTCAAAGAGACAAAAGCCTACCACGATGGAAATTTCACAGCAGTTTATGCAGCAGCAGGATGCAGAATCAGTGGCGTGTTTTTTTTCTTTTTAACATAATAATCCCAAATATCTTTTACCCTCTGTTTCCCCCTCAGAACCAGGGCAGGGAGAGGCATCTTGTCAAAAAAAAAGGCATCACATTTCTGTGCTTTGATTGAGTCTCTCTCCAAGGCTGCGAGGAGGGGGTTCCCCCGTGGATGAGGAATGCCTGGTGAGCTCAGCTGGAGTTTTTGCTCTTGGACTGACTGCAGCTTGTTTGCTCCACACCAGCAACAGGTGCAAATTGATGGTTTAAGCCCAAGAGGGGCCGGCAGGTAACTGAGATAAACAAGCTGCTGAAATCAGCCCAGCACCTTGCACTGGTGGCCATCTGTGGGGGGGCTTTTCTCCAGCTGCACCTCCAGAGGTGGGGATAGCGGTTATTTTAATCCTCTTTTCTGGAGCTGCTGAATAGGCTTGGTTTGCCAGAAGGCTCCCTGCTGTATCAGGGGTGCTGTCCTCGAGGATTTTAGGTTGGCAGAGGCCATGTTGCTTACCCACAGCAGCCTCTGAGAGGTGCAGGTTTGACCTTTTCCTTCAGTGCAGGAGGTGAGAAGCTGGTGGTGCTCACAACCCGCAGGCTGGATGTGCCCTGAACATCCCTCATACCAGAGGGACTGGGGGCAATGGCCACGAGCAGTCCTTGAGTTGCTAAAGGCCTGGCTACTTCAGGCAAAATTTGGCTGCAGGGACAGCTCCAAAGCAGCGAAGGGGGGGTTTTATACCCAGTGCTGACCCTGGAAGCTTCTCACAGGCCTTGCATACATGCAAGGGAAAGGCTAAAAGAAACAATGGGGCTGGCAGGAACCCTGTGCCCTGCTTTATTTACCCATTCTCATGCAGCTTCTTGTCCCATCCCAGCTGGCAGTCGCTGTGCAGAGGCAGCAGGAGGTGGGACACTCATCTGCCCCAGAGGACAGAGCCTCTGAGGAGCGTTTCTGGCATTTTTCACTTTCCTCTGCTGCACATCTCTCCATGAAGGTGAGTGGAGGAAACAGAGCTGGCGTTTGTTTCCCCTCGGGCATTATTTCATCGTGGCCTCTCCTCATGGTGCCAAGGTCTCCAGCCCTCTGTCAGGGGCACTTTCCTGCCATGGGGACCTGGGAGGCCCAGAGTGACCTATCCTCGTTCGTGACTTACCAGGTACTGTTTGCTGCAGAGGTGCTGGCTGCGATCCCCTTCCTACAAGGGACGATAGAGATTTTGTGGAGAAAGTCTACTCAAAACAGGCTGCGTGTCCTGGGACAAACTGGGTCTAGAAATTTGGGCTGAGACTCGAAAAGCATCCCCAGGCAAGTTCTGCATCCAAGGGAGCCACCAGTCCCTGCAAATGTCATGAAAAACGGAGGGAACTGGGACACTGGGGATTCCCTGGGCTAAATAGGCAATCACATGGTGGCATTAATGAATTTACTGTAGAAAGTGGGAGTACAGCCAGAGCTGACAGTCATTGTTAATCAGGTTAACTATTAAAAGTTGGTTTCCTTTTGTTTAAGAGTTCAGCAAGCCCAACCATTTGGACTTTTGTTTTCTGTAGGTCTGGATAAATGAGTTTTACTAAGGGTTTGTTACTTCTGGCCAGAAAGCTGGATGGATAACGTTTGTCAGACAAAAAAAAAATAAAAAATAAAAAAAAGAAATCAAACAGTAGCAGCTTTGCTTTATGAAGAAATCTAGTGTTCCGTGTTTGTGCATGTACAGGAGTGAGTACTGGGAGAAAAGGCAGATGCACAGCCAAGGTGACAGCACAGCTGGGATTAGGGTTCAGGTGAGGATGGGTGCGGTTGGGAACTTGGGGCACTCTGAGCCTGGTCAAGCAGGAGGCCTGGAAGTCAGAGTCCCAGGGAGCTTTCTCACTTCCCACCTCTTGCTCTCTGAAAGGAGGCATCAGGGCTGGACTACTTGCAGCACGGAGTCCTGAGATTTAAAGCATGGGGAGTGCGGGGAAGGAGCTGGGTGAGGGGCTGAGCAAACGCGACTGGGACCAACAGGATGCTTGAGGCAATGCCTAACATCATCCTGAGCTACTAGAGGTTGGCTACGGCTCTAGCTGCGTGCCAGACACCCCTATAACACTCTGCCCAGCCCCTTACAGCTTACCAGCAATGGCCTGGATCTGGGCAAAGACCTAGAAACTGAAGCCTCTATTGCTAATGTGGGTCACCACAAGTTTTGAAAATGCTTTCACTCGTGTCTCCTGACAAGCACAGTGCTGCTCTGAAGCTTGTTTATGTCCAAATTATTAAAGATATGTTTACGGTATTACATCAATGCCAAATACTTATTGTAATCATTTTCTTGTTAGGCTCATACTACCTCAAACGTAATCCTTTGAGTTATGTTTGTGTGTGTGTGTGTGTGCGCGTGTGTATACATACACGTACATAAAGTGTGCAACAAACAAGCTCTATTGTGGTTCAAAAGAGCCTCTGGGCAACGATTCTGAGCTGACAAAACTGAAAGGCCATAGCCAGAATCAAAATTGCCTCTTCCCTCCCCACAAGATGACAAATCTGAGGTATGTCATTAATAGCCTTTTTCTCCTCATTCTCTCCTCTATGAAGTCCAGTGACCTATTTCATCTGCCTCAAACAAAGGACTCTTACAAGAACTCCTCTTAAATTTATTTTCTCAACCCTGGGGCCATACAATTACTGCTGCTCACCCATGCTTTTCGTGTTTAGATACTGGAAGGATGCATGTATTTTTTGTCGTTGTTATAGCATTCCCATGAAAAATCAGTGGCAGCCAGCATGCTCCTGACTTGGGTTCTGCTCATGGTCAGCCAGCCAAACCTTCTTGAGATGGCTGCAAAAGCAAGTGGTACCTTCATTAAACTGATGGCTGACACATGTGCTGCCTCTCAGGTTCTGATCTCTGCTCAGATCAAAACAGCAGAGACCTGGAGCAGGACCCAGGTGCTGGTTTTGAAGTTGCAGCTATCTCAGCAATGTTTCTGAGGGAGTGTATGATCGACATGTGATGACCCCCATGACTCAACAGATAAAGTGCTTCGTTATGCCACGAGAAACAGGTCACAAGCTCAGGTTGAGCTTCAGAAAGGCACTTGAGTGTCCCCTGCTTTGTGAGTATTGTGGCTTAAGTCAGTAGGACGCATCAACAGGCACAGGATCCGTTCAAGGACTTCTCTGCATAGCTGGCTGTGTGTTCGATTCCTTAGGTCAAGGGAGAGGAAGGGAGGTGGTTGTTAACACCAGCTTGACAGCACTGTGATTGCAACCTGCTGACAGCCCGCTGCTGCTTAGATTTGCTCTGTACAGGGGGAAAACATTAGAATTGAACACATTTGAAATGCAGGAGCCTGTCAGAGAGACTGATGCAGAAAGCCCTGTTGGAATTTCCTCTCAGCATCCATTTTATTACATCATGTTACAGCAGTATTTTTACATTGGGTGATTTGATACCTACATCAGTACCTTGTTGGACAGTGCACTTTGGACTCATTGCCTGTTAGGCGAGCAAAGTCCAGTGCCCGTCCCTCGCAGAAGCTCCTGTTCTTTGGCACAGTCCCAGAGCTGACTTCAGACTAACGTGGCAAGGGCCTGGATGTTGCGGGAGCTCTCAGGGGCCCTGTGGCCGGTGTGGTCGCTTCTGCTCCTTCTGTCTCTCTCGCTGCTGCTGGGGCTGTACTGAGCCTTGGCTGCATGGCTCCGGAAGGCCCGGACAGTTCGAACAGCAAGGATGCAGACCACAAAGCTAGCCAAGTACAAGCAGGCAGCGGCAACGCCGAAGAGGCCGACGGCTGCGTCGCCTCCCTGCACCACGCAGCTCATGGAGGTATAGCCACGGCGCGCGTACAGCCGCTCGCGCCTCTTGCAGCTCTCCGTGGAGTTCACCTGGCTGACAAAATGCAAGTAGAGGCCGACGGCAGCCACGTAGCTCACAGCAGCCAGGAGGTTGAAGGCACACTCACCAACGAGCAGCCCCGGTTTGAGGCGGTGGATGGGCTTCACCCCCACCACAAGGAAGACGAGCGTAAGCGCTGCCGCTGTTAAGCTGAAGGCCACCCCGCCGTAGACGCAGGGGGCTCGCATCTGGGTGATCTGCATGTCCAGCTCTCTCACCTCCTGCAGCTCCGTCCCCTCGAAGGGGCTGTAGGCTGAGTTCAGGTTAAAGGACCCGAGACCCAAGCCGCCGAGGGAAGTGAAGCCTGCGACGGAGGCCTGGGCAGCGCCCACGCAGATCAGCACCAGGAGGTTCACCGTGATTTCCACGAACTTCAGGATGCCTGCGAGGAGCAGAAAGAGGGGAACAGATGTCAAAATCACGTCCTGAGCAAACTGGGGGCGATAAAAATACACCAAAACCATAAACAGCACCATTACAGACATAGTCCTCTTGGCTACAACAACAGAAGGGTATTTCTTTAAAAGTAATATAAAAAAAAAATAGTGCGAGCTCTCACGGGTACGTTTCAGAAGTTGGGCAAATTATTATTATTTTTTTAAATTTGTCAGTGTGCTTGATAAATGGATCTCCATGGGGATGGAGGGGAAAAATCCATAAAAATTTTACTGTGCTTGTGTTACTGCCAAGGAAAGTGAACGGTGATAGTATTTTGGCCTGTAACTACTTGGCATAAACACTGAACAAGAAATATCCAGCATGAACAAAATGCTGAGGTGAAAGCTGACAGAAACCTAGAATCTTCTAATGGCTTAAAATCTGTACAGTTATTTAGGCCCTTAAAAAAGGTGTTTACTGCTTTAACTTACGTATTTTGTGTCTAAGTTTGTTAATTTTAATGTACTGTCTAATCAGACACAACTTCCACTCTCTTTCACAGAATCTCTTCATAAATATTAAGAAACAGTTCCTGATGGTTTAGAAAAGTGGGAGACGGGGACAAAAATGCCTTATATATTGGGGTTAGTAGTGGAAATTTGGTATCACTTTGTGTTCTCTTATGCATGCCTGGTTTCAGAAGAAAGCCTTATGATTTCTGAGCTGACTTCTCAGGTTATACTACTGATAAAGGTAATCAATTTTTTTTTATTTTTTTTAAGCAAAAAGAAGTGTATAAATGGCTTCTTTTTGTAGTAGCTGCCTGTCAGGAAAGAGCAGCGTGGCTTAGATAAATCTGATTATTCTGTGACAGCTCACTAGGGGTCAGGCTAAGATTAGTAAACGTGACTGATGCAGAAGTGTAGCAGAGCTAGAGTTGCCTATTTGGGAAATGAAAACGCCCAGTGTACCACGTGTGTTCATCCTCTGCTCCTGAAATTAATCACTGAATAGTGAGTCGGCTTAGCCCACTGTAGTCTGACAACCAAGAATGTAAGATGCTTCACACAGCGGTCCTATATTTGTCTTTAGAGCAGGGTGGGATCCTTGGCTTGCATACAGATGTTAATTTTATGCTCCTAACGCTGACCAGCATGGCATTCTCCTCTTAAGCAACGGCTCAATTGCTGTCAAGGCTGCATGGGCTTGAAAAAAAATCCTCTCTTGTGCTGCCAGATGCTTCTAACTGAAGAAAGTCAGCAACAGCTGCTATGAAGGATCACTGGATGTTCCTGTTCAGCCCCTTCTTAGTCCCTCCGCAGAGGGCTGAGACAACAAACACCCTCCTGCTGCTGCTGCTTGCTTTCACTGGAAGGCACTTCTGACAAGGTTTGACAAGGGCCTTTGGCTACTTCAGGAGTGCCCCTGTCCCCAGACTGGTCCCCTCACTTCTAACACAGCTGTTGGTAGGTGCTGAAGCCCATTCACATCATGGACTTGTGAACCATCCGATTAGCACACAGGGGAGCAATGACAGCAGTGGGAACAGAGTATCTGAGGCTCAGCATGTTTCAGGTTGTGGGTGTGTGCATGTGCATACATATAAAACATACACACATTTCATATCTGAACACGAATAGGAAGAGCAGGCAGAGAAGACAGTGTTATCGGTGAGGAAGAAATATGCAAGCACTTCTATGCATGTTTTCTTCAGAGATGATGCCCATTTCTGCATGAAAACCTGCCTTTTCCTTGACTTTTCCTTGACTCCTCCTCCACACAACCATCTCTGTGAAGCACGGCAATAATCATGCTATTAACTAAATGTGTTCATGAGGCTTTGTCATCTAAGGAAGCATTTGTGAAGCTATATGTGAAGAGAAATATAAATCTCAGTCAATGACACAGGATTTGGGCCTCCTTGTACCAAATTCAAACAATGAAGGCAAAGAGACTTGAAGTTTTTAATGGGTACAGAGTCACTGCTTTAACTAGGACTGCTCCAAATATTTTTAAAGAGTAATTTTAGTATAGGACACTTTCTGTTGCACCTGCTGCTCCACGTTTGTAACAGCATGAAAACAACTGACCCCAATCCTCAGTGGCATTGCTCGAAAATTTCCTGTGGGCTCACACAAAGCCTTGACTTTACTGAGCCGCCTGCTGGTACTACGGTAGGACTGGCGTGATGTGATGGGAGGAGAAACATCATCAGCGTGGGCTACTGCATTTTTAAAGTGCAGCAGTAGATGCTTTAATGGCATGCCTGGAAAATTTATTTTGGCACAGCATTCAGGTTGGACAGGTTTTCTATGTACCTGTGGTGTTTTCACACATGCCTGCTGTAGAATTGATTGGAGTGACTCAGCGATGGAGAGAGGTCCATTAGCGGCTACTCCATCAGTTATTTGCAATGTCTGGGTTGACTTTAAAAAAAACAAATGCTGATATTAAAGAAAATCATAAAATGATGAACACTGTGTAGGACAAAGCTGTGAGTGTAAGGTCTCCGATGACAGCCAGCAGGGTTTGTGAAAGCAGTAAGCAATTAATGGGTACTCCAATTGTACAATCTTAGTGATTTTGAAGGAAATATTAAGCCCTGCTATGTTCAAGGCGTATGTCCAGGCACCCTAAAAACTTCATACAACCTTCACCTGTAATCCGTTACAGTTAACAGCTGATACCCAGTCTATTGTACTAGTATAAACAGGATAGACAGACTCGAGAAATAAGGAGTAGGACAGTTCAATTTTGAGTATTAAGTCTGTCAAGGCATGCCAATTAACGCATTGTAGCAGTGATCTATGTAAAGCATTTTTCTGCAGGCAAAAAGGAGCGAGTTCACATCCACACTTCTGAGTCTACGTTGCCATTCCTACTTTCACAGGCTGGTTAGCAAAGTCATCTTAGTTATAGCTGCAGAAACCACGTTGCCAAAAACTTTTCCAAAGTGGCAGCTGCTGATCTATTTTTTTCTTTTTTTTTTCTCTTCCTTTCTCAAGGTCAAAATCTTGGGATCAACCTAAAATGTTACTGATTTATATCAGAATTAGCACAGCAAATAGCTGGCTTTGGGAATGAGCTCTCTCTGTATTGAGTAATGAGACTGAAGTCTGGGTTCCTCGATTTCCATTTCCCTTCCCATACTTTTCTGCACTGCTTTTCAACACTAAAGGTGGGAAGAGCTGATGCAATCCAGAAGGCTGTGGATGCTGCCAGGAACTTTCCAGAGGATTGCTTCACTCATTCTATAAAACCCAAATCTGCAATGGATGATACCTTCAATTCATTGCACTTGCTTTGTAACTTTGCTGTGTAAGCTACCTGCTGAAACAAACACAGTGACTTCCACAAAATGCAATCTTTCAACTTACACCATTTATCTATCTGTTTTTCTCTCCCTTCCATGAGAAGTGCATGCTTGGCCATTGCCATGGCATCAATGCACTGATCAATAGCTTTGTTTTATATCAAAGGGTGGGCTCAAACATGCAGCAAAGCAAGCAGGCAGCCTGGAAGGGTGCAGAGCCACAGGCAGCTGACCTTGCTCTAACAGGTCCTACCCAGTCATTGTGTTCTTCCCTGGCCCTGTAACAACTCTGGCCTAGCATCAGGCCCTTCCAAGGGCTGTTTTAAGACATTAAAAGAGCAGGAAACGATTCAACTCTTTTCTTGTGCGCTGCTGTTTTTTCCTGCAACTTTAGCAACTTGAAGTGACTCACGGAGCATCTGATGAGCAACTGTGCTTGGCACGAGTTTAGCAGGGGAAGTAACACAGCCAGGACCAGGGGAGGATCAGAAGCTCTCCTTTTCAGGTGAGGCGAGCTGTTAAATCTGCATGTGTCGTCTCACAAAAGACACTGTGTGACTGTGTGGTACCCAGCAAACCCACGGTGTGTTCAAGTCTCATGTGTTGGAAGCTGTCAAGTCTTTTTCACCAGGCACCGCGGCAGAATGACCCCAACATACAGGCACCACGATCAGCATGGGTACGTACATGCGTCCACAAAGTAACACGCTCAATTCCTGTTTGTTCCTCTGTTTCCACAGCTGACAAAATCCCATCTGTAGGACAGGCAGATCTGGCTGTTCCTCTTGAACTCCCTCTGACCCCGTGAGGGCCTGACTAATAGACGAGGCCTTCACAGCGTCTCCCTCCACTGTGCCTTGGCACAGCAATCACTTTTTTTCCCTCTGTTGACTGCACGTGGGCTCTTCCTCCTGACTCTTTTGGTATCATGCCTTCCTGTTGATTTAACATCCCGAAGATGCTTTATGTTCGTCTCTCTCTGCATGGCTGCTGGCTCGCTCTCTCCCTCTACTCCCCTCGCAGGCCATGTGCCATTGGGATCGGCGGTCCCAGGGCTGTCTGTCTGTCCCTCTGAGACACCTCGACCCTAGTGCCATGGTGCATGTGCCAGAGCAGGCAGCACAAGGAAAAAACACACGCGAACCCGCACAGGTAAGTGGTGCCTGTGTCACGTCCCATTAGGGGTCGCTCGAGGAGAAGGGAAGACAGTTAGTGGCTACAACACATGCAGTAACAATAATTCTCCCAGCCTTTCTCACTAAAACTTGTCTCGTTTTCCAGTTTGGGGAGCTTTCTGCTTTTCAGAGGTAATGTTTTTTTATTTTTTTTTCCCCCCTCCAAAGGAGCAGGCAAGTATTTTGACCATATATAGCAACTTACAAAAGCTGGAGACAGTCCTGAAAAGGATCTCATATGCTGAACTTCTCTTGGCAGTGCAGGTTTTGTGTTCCACAGAGAGCAAGGACACAGCTCAGTGTGCAGCTTTGGTCACCTCTGGGCTAAACTGAGTCGGTGGCAGGAGAAATACAATGGGTGGGAAGGAGAGAAAATGTCAAAGGAAAAGGAATTTTGTTCCCCTTTTGGAAGGGCACAAAAAATGTGACAGAAGAGAGGAGGAAGCAAAACAATGGAGGAGACCTAAAGAAGGGAAATGAAAAGGAGAAAACAGTCGCGACAGATCAAAAATGTTA